CCCAAAACTACCACTACAAAGTGATGAAGCAAATCAGCATGCTACATGCACTTACTCCACACCAACAACCAACTAGACTGATCCAGAAGATTTGTTTGGGCATGAATTTTGGGCTGCATTTGGTAGGAAAGGATGGTCTGAACAAACATACACAATGAGCCATACAAAAGGTGAGCACAGCTCCACATACATGTACAATAAAAAAGGTGGTTTTCTGGAAGTTTGCCACAACAGAAAGTCTTAAACAATTCAGCAATCCAAATACAAAGCCAGCCTCGTTTAATCTGGTGATACATTTTCCTTCAGGATTCAGAGCATGAACTGGCTTATAACGAACATAAATGGTAGCAAGGAATAAAACTGCAGCGAAATTTAACATTGCCCCAAACAAGCACTTTTCTGGAGCTGATGTACCTGATATAAGGCAAAGCAGGGTCAACATGGCGGAAAGTTGACCCTGGAGAAAGCAGCTGCCACCCAAATTATAAGGGCTGAAAGAAGGAAACCGAGGCTGTGCTGAAACCATCGTATTTCAAACAGGTCTTTGTTACTTGCTTGGTTTTATCATCCTCACTAAAGTTTAAGTTCTGTGAGAGCAGGAACCAACTGTTTTGTCCACCATTTTATTTCCAGCTCCTGTTTTAGTATCAGTCTTCAAATCTACCCAAACCTGCCCCGTGTGTAAATCCTATGTTCTCTGCTTTCTTTGACAATCCATGAATCAGAACTGCGGTTACAATTTTTCAAATTCCATAAATATTTAAATGCCACTGGTAATAAGATGAATTCTTTATGCTGTCTCCTCTCGGTGGTGACTGTTTGCTAGGATGAGCCACCAGGGCTGACCTTTGGGTCTGGAGCCTACGGGCTGGATGGAGATGGGGTGGGCCCCAGGGCAGGTACCTGAGCGGCCAGCCCAGGCCTGGGTGCACTCACTGCCCTGAGGAGCACACTTGCCCTGCCCACTCACTTCAGCTAGCACTTTATTTTTGTGAGTTGTTTGTATTATTAACATATTCTTTTTACATCAGTTTATAAGGTATTTGTGGAAAAGGTTCCTTTGATACATTTTACAAATATTTTCCTAATTAACTACTCATCATTTTGCATACGTGCTCTCCCCAGCTTTCTCTATACACATAAACATATATAGATGTATGTACTTGTACATTTATATATATACTAGAGGCCCGGTGCACGAAATTCATGCATGGGTAGGGCCCCTAGGCCTGGCTGGTGATCAGGGCCAATCTGTGGGGTGACTGGAGGGACAATTGGGGGGCCCCCGCTGGCACCCGCCTTGGCCATCCTGACACCACCTGCTAGCCGGCCCTGCCCCCCAGTCGCCCTGACACTGCCACCGGTAGCCTCCCTCTGCGGGGCAATCCGGGGGCCCCCGGATGGCATCCACCTTGGCTGCCTGGGGCCTGTGGGCAGCTCCTGCATTGAGCGTCTGCCCCCTGGTGGTCAGTGCACGTCATAGCAATCGGTCACTCCACCATTTGGTCAATTTGCATATTAGGCTTTATTATATAGGATATGTCTTAATTTTAAGAAGTCAATCTTTTATATTGTCTATCTTGCTGTGATGCTAAGACAAGCCTTCCCCACGCCAAGTTTATGAGCACATTGTCATGCTTTCTTTTAGTGCTTTTGTGCCTTCATTTTTTTATAGTCAAATAATTTATCCTTTTAGAATGCATTTTGAAAGCATAAATGAAGTAGGTAGCCAATCCCACCCGCCAAATAAGTGGCCAGTTATCCCAAATTCATTTACTGAATGATCCCTCTTTCCCTGTAGACTTGAAGTGTTCCCTTTATAATTCACTGAATTCTCATTTACATGTGGATCTAATTATTGACTATCTTGTTTCACTGACTATCTGTGTATTGTTATATTAGTACTGCATTCCTTCAACTAGTATGTCATTGTACATTTTAATAAGGGGTGGTAAGATGGGGGAGCATACCCCCCACCCACAGATATTACTCTTCTTTTTTCAGAATTTACCTGGCTATTCCATGTTTATTATAATGGAGCTTTAGATTGTTTTGTCAGTTCCTCCAAAAGTCTTATAGAGATACTAGAGCCCAGTGCACGAATTTGTGCACAGGTGGGGTCCCTTGGCCTGGTTGGCAATCGGCCAGGGGGAGGGACCACAGGAGGTTGGCTGGCCGGGTGGGGAGGCACCTAAGGAGGTTGGCTGGCTGGCCTGGGGAGGGACAGCGGGAGGTTGGCCAGCAGTGGGAGGTTGGCTGTGGGAGCGCACTGACCACCAGGGGGCAGTTCCTGCATTGAGTATCTGCCCCCTGGTGGTCAGTGCACATCACAGCGACCAGTTGTTTGATCGTAAGGAGCGCTTAGACTTTTATATATATAGACTAGTGGCCCGGTACACGAAATTCGTGCACTGGGGGGTGGGGATCCCTCAGCCCAGCCTGCCCCTCTCACAGTCCGGGAGCCCTCATTAGATGTCCTACTGATGGCCACAGTCTGGTTCAGAGGCTTGGAACAGTTGCCCCGCGCGTGTGTGTGTGTGTGCCGCTGGGGGCCTGCCCCAACGGCGCGTCAGAGGCTCGAAGCAGACGCTGTGTGTGTGTGTGTGTGTGTGTGTGTGTGTGTGTGTGTGTCTGCTGGAGGCCTGCCCCCAGCCTCATCAGAGGCTCGGAGCAGGCACCCTATGTGTGTGTGTGTGTGCATGTATTTGTGAGTGTGTGTGTCCCCGTTGGGGGCCTGCCCCCAGCCGCATCGGAGGCTCAGAGCAGTCGCTCTGTGTGTGTGTGTGTGTGTGTGTGTGTGTGTGTGTCTGTGTGTGTCCCCGCTGGGGGCCTGCCCCCAGCTGCGAAGGAGGCTCGGAGCAGGCTCCTTGTGTGTGTGTGTGTGTGTGTGTGTGTGTGTGTCTGCTGGGGGCCTGCCCCCAGCCACACTGTGGAGGCTTGGAGGAAGGCGCCCCCCTCTGTGTTGATCTCTCAGGCTCCTGGGCCTCGCCCTGCCCTGTTGTTTTTCTCCCTTTGATCTGGTGGCCAGGGTAGGGTGCTGACTGGAGGCCGGCCTTTGCCTGGCTTTGCGAATCGCCATTGCCAACCCCGGAAGCAAGCCACTGCATGGGGGCTGTTTGCGGGCTGTAGCTTGACTGAATTAGCGAATGCCTGCGGTGACCCACAAAGCAGGCCCTGCTGGGGGCTCTTTGTGCATGCACAATTTTTTCCTTGTTCAGAAAATCGAACGGCAAGAAACCTGGAAAG